CTCAAGGTGAGGCTGGACGAGGCTTGGAGCAGCCTGGGACAGTGGGAGGTGTCCCTGCCCATGGAGGATGGGCTTTAACGTCCCTTCCAACCCAAAAATTCCTTGATTCCGGGTGTAGTTTGAGCCATGACCTCTCAGTGTTTGGAGGCAGAGCTGCTGGGGTGTGTGTGCTGAGCACAGGGATCCCAAGTCCTCAGCAGTTCCTCGGGAATCCAAAAGGATGGAGGGGCCTCAGCTCCTCTGAGATCCCAGGAAACAGCCGAAGGTTAGGACAGAACCACACGGAATTGGGCAGAGCATTATCGGCCCCGCATAGCTGGAATACCAAAAACCGGAGCCACCTCCCACTCCTCTCAGATGCCGTGAGGAGATGTGTGGGTTTGAAACAGATGTTTTTCTCCTTCTCCTGGGGTGTCAAGGGCTGTGTCCTGCGCAGGAGCCAGGCCGGCACTCGCTTATTCGCATCCAGGAGAGGGAAGGTAACTGATACAGGAGAGCAGCGATTGTATCCATGACAACCGGCAGATACGGCCTCGCTGCCTCGCAGCTCCTTCCTCCCTCCCCAGGGCACATCCCGGCCCAGACGGGTCCCTCGGCTGCGGTTCAGTACCCCTGGGAGAAAGGTGTAAAATCCCCGGGTTAAGCACATTTCTGGAGCCAGCAGCCCGATGGGTTCCCAGCAGAAATCCCAGGCTGAGCGATCCGGCTGCAGGGATGCTGTGGTTTTACAGGAACATCGTGCAGGAGCAGGGTGGGCTTGGCAGACTGAGAGTCTGTGGAGCCAGCAGGCAAAATGCAGATTATCCTGCCAAAAAAACCAGGGTTTAGATGTGCTGGACACCTTCAGAAATCTGAGCTGAGCGAGGGAATGTGGCGCTCACCTGCGCGGGGATGTCGGCAGAGGCCGGAGGTGTTTGCTCCGTGGATGAGCCTCAGTCTCTGCACAATCCCTGTCCAGGGAGCAGCAGCTGCCTGGGCTGTGCTTCCCCAGAGCTCTGCTGTGCTGCAATTCCTGCATTCCGACCGCTGCCTGGACCTGCCCTGGAAAGTGCTGCCATTTGAAGCAGCTGCAATCGCACCCAGTGCGGAGGAACAGAAGGAAATCCGTCAGAAAAGCGAAAAGCTCTTAAAGGCAGCCAGTTTTTCCCATTTCCAGGGCCCCTGCTTTATATCTTCAGCGTGGTTTGTACCACGCTAAGGAAAGACGTTCCTGGGATCAAAACAAGGTGATCCATCATCTCTTCCTCCACAGTGGCAAAACAAAGCAGAAGAGGCAAAGAAATGAGAGGGTGAATGGAGAGCCAGGGATTAGAAGACAGGACGTGGAGTTCAAGTTTTGTCCTGACCATAAAAACCCGACTCAGTTTCCCTGTGAGGACAACAATGAGCTCTGGACCTGATTGGTCAATATTAAAAGTACAAAGAGGGTTGCTGCAAGCTCTAATTAATTGTCTTAGCAAATTAGACGAGTCTGTAAATTGTAGCAGATATTTGGGACAGCCTGGCAAGGTCCTGTGCCTGTGAGGTTTTTTGCATTTCCTTGTAGGTGTAAAAGCAGCAGCACACAGGGCAGGCAGGGGATGGATCAGAAAAAAAGGAGGAAGAGAGCCATGGGAGCACTGTGTGGGCATGGGGAGAATCACCTGGCCAGCTTCTGGAACTGTGAGGCAGAATTGGATCTGGGAGTGGTGACACAGATCAGTCTCCATCTGCTCTGGAAGCGCTTTGGGGATGTCCTGGTTTCGGCTGGGGTAGAGTTAATTTTCTCTTAACTGGTTTAACGAATGTTGTCAGCCTCTCTGCAAAGGAAAAATGTAACACAGCCAGCCAGCTGCAGAGGCAAAAATATCTACAACTGTATTTGAGGAGGATTTGATGATTTTAAATCCAAACTAAGCCCGCAGTATTTTGAATTTTCAGTGAATGCAGCACTGACAAAGGATCCAGCTGATCCCGAGTCTCTGTTTACCACAGCAGCAGCTCTTCCCAGCCTGCACCATCTCAGAAAAACGCCAGGCTATATGTTTTAATCACTGTATTTAGCCATGACAGTCACCCAAACAGCAGATTTTGCTTTTTGCACCCTGCTTCCAGGATCAAGGATGCTTTTTATAGCTGTTCTTTGGCTGGAAATAAATCCTGGGGGACACCACTACCTCGTTTCTCTTCCGCTGACATCCTGCCCTGAACTCAGCAGCAATCTCCTGTGGCACATTTCACCTTCTGCTAATCCAGCCAGGGTTCAGCATGAGCTGGTGCAGGAATGGAGGGAAGGTCAGTCTGAGAACATCTCCCATCAGTGGAGAGGTGGCTTTTCTTGGAGCCCTGGAGAGGCCAGAGTGCTCTCCCCCAGCATCACCGTGGAGTCACCACAACCCTTTCTGGGTGTTGTTATAATTTTGAGATACTGTAGAGCTACCTCAGCAGAATCCTCTCCTTTAGCAGGAATATCTGCAGAGATGCAGAGAATAATCACACACAATTCTTTTGTGCATCTCCCCAAAGTCTCTCATGTGCTGTTTTGCTAAAAGGAGTGGACAGGATAATCTGGAAGTTTTATTTAGGTGAAGCTTCATGATTTCTGTCTTTGTCAAGTCCTGGGGCAGGCTGTCTGTCTCTCTGCTATGAAATATGATGGATTTCCTGCATCCCAACAGAGCAGCCAGGGGTGGAAGCAGCAGCATTTCTGTCTCCACACTCTCCACAGGCCTTGCTCAGGGTATTGCCCATGAACCTTTCACTGTGGCCTTAAAGAAGAAGCTTTGGTTTTCTACTTTAACTTTTCAACACTTCAAAAGTTACTTATTTGTAACTTTAAAAAAATAATCGGTTGGAATAACAGTTGTGATTTGAGAATCAGAAATTTCCCTGGAGTTCATGATCAGCCTGAGATCCCCCCTCAGCTGCCTCAGGTTCCTGCTCAGTGCCCGATCCTGCCTCTCTTCCATGGAAGTATCACCAAGAAGTGCCTCATTCTCCTTCCAGAAAGGCAGCATTGTCCTGCCCTCAGCTCCCCCTGCGTCCCTGCAGAGCAGAGGGAAAGGGAGATGGGTCTGGAAAAGGAAGGAAGGAGGTAAATGGGGTTTGGAATTGACATCACCGTGTTACCTGTGCTGGGTAAAGCAGCTGGAGCCTGGCACTCCACGTTCCAGGCAATGAGGGGATGTTCGGGGTGCCTTTGGAGCTGAATGAATAACCCTCCACAAGATCTGCTCCAACTTGCTCCAGCAGCAAGTGCCATGAGTTTAATTTGCTCTAACAGGATCACAGGCAGCAGCAGCAGCAGGGTGGATTTGTGTTATTTAATGCCTCCACCTGGGGCTCGGGCACGGGGCTGGGACAGCGATTCCAGCTCAAACAGCCACCCTGGGGGTTTCCTACACTCCATTCTGCAGAAAGGAAGACAGCTCTATCCTAAATCACGAGCAGGTCCTGGAGATGACTCACAGAGAAGCTTCACGTGCTGTGGAGATTAATTGGAATTTTTCAAAGCGCTGAGCTCTGTCCCAGTTTGGCTTTTTCAGAGTTTGCTGGGACACCTGCCCTCAGAATGCTCAGTCCCAGCTCTGCAGGCTGCCACTCAGGCTCGTTAAATATTTCCAGCCACACCTTGATGAAGTCAACCCTTAGTGATGCATCTTTTAAAAAGGCTTAGTTTCATTTCTTTTTAACAAGTAGTTTTATAATGAAACATGAAATTTTGCATTGGGCTTTGAAAAAATGTGAGTAGAAGAAAACTTTTTTCCTATCTGAGAACCTGATAGGTGAGGATAGCCAGGAATTCTGAATGCCCGTTTTTAAGGTGGGTGTGTTCCTTATCCCTGTTTTTCAGGGAATTCCAGGGGCACCGCAGGAGGCGATGGGCAGTGATTCATGGCACATCTCAAACCTGGAATCCGGATTTCCTGGAGCAGTTTCCTGAGTTCAGCAGCAATCTGAGCTGTGTCACCACCTTTGTCCTCACCACCTCTCCTGGTGCAGCCACGCAGATTGTGCACACGGGGAAACAGCTGGACACTCCCAGAGGAAAAATCTTTCCAAGGCACAGAAGAGCAGGACTCAGTGCCGTGTATTTGTGAGTTCCAGGTGTTCGTGGTGCTGTGAGGATTGTGCAGAGCCACAGAATGGCTCGGCTTGGAAGAGATTTTTAAAGATCATCTTTAAAATGGTTTTCAGTGGCTCAGCCACAGCTCTCCCTGGCAGAGGCTCCCAAGTCCCCCAGAACAGGATTTCATGGAGCATCCAGGCGTCGCTTCCCAAGGTTTCAGCCTCCCAGTGAAAATCATCTGGGCTGTCCCAGCCCTGGTGTGGCCACAGGCCCAGGGCAGTGCCTGTTCCCTGTGCTGGTGCTGCTGAGGCCCCTCAAAGTGTGGGGTCAGGGACCTGGAGGGATTGGGGGTGTCCAGGGAAGGGAAGGGGGCTGGGAAGGGGCTGGAGCCCCAGGAGAGGCTGAGGGAGCTGGGAAGGGGCTCAGCCTGGAGCAAAGGAGGCTCAGGGGGAATTTCTGGCTCTGCACAAGTCCCTGGCAGGAGGGGACAGCCGGGGGAGATGGGCTCTGCTGCCAGGGAACAGGGACAGGAGGAGAGGGAACGGCCTCAGGCTGCCTCGGGGGAGGTTTAGGTTGGATATTGGGAAATATTTCTTCACCAAAAGGGTGAGGAAATATTAAAACACGCTGCCCAGGTTGAGTCACCATCCCTCGAGGGATTTAAAAGCAGTGTGGATGTGGCATTTGGCGACACCGGGTTAGTGGTGGCCTCGGGCCAGTGCTGGGGGAACAGCCGGACTCGATGCTCTCCAGGGGAAGCTTTCCCGACCCCACCGATTCCGCGGTTCCACGCTCCGGTCCCCTCCGGCACGCCGGGCTGGGTTTGCCGGATGCTCCGGGCGGAGGATGCCCGCAGCCCCTCCCCGGCGCCTCCCGCCCGCCCCCCGCCCCGCCCCGGCCCGGCCCGGAGCCGGTGGGTGCCCAGCCCGGCGGCGCTCGGAGCCAGCCCGCCGCGGGCACCCGCCGGCAGCGATGCCGCTCGCCCAGCTGGCCCAGCCCTGGCCCGACATGGAGCTGGTGCATCTGGACACGGAGGTGAGCGGGCACGGCCGGGGGGGCTCCGGGGCGGGGGGCTCCGCCGAACAAAGGAGCGCCCGCCGGGACCCCGCGGAGCCGCTCCCTGCGGCGGGGGAGAGCGGCAGCCGGAGCCCTGCGCTGCCGGGGCCGCTCCGAGACCGCTCCGAGACCGCTCCGAGACCGCTCCGAGACCGCTCCGGGGCCGCTCCGAGACCGCTCCGAGACCGCTCCGAGACCGCTCCGGGGCCGCTCCGGGGCCGCTCCGAGACCGCTCCGGGGCCGCTCCGAGACCGCTCCGGGGCAGCTCCGAGACCGCTCCGGGGCTCGCCGTGCGCTCCCGGGGCTCGCCGTGCGCTCCCGGGGCTCGCCGTGCGCTCCCGGGGCTGTGGTCGGGGCAGTGGAGGCTGCCGGGCTCGCTGCAGCCCGTGCGGGCTGTGAGCGTTCAGGGAGTGCAGGCAGCGCTCCCGAATCTCCCGGGTGCAGAGGAAAGCGGACCCGGCTGAAGGCCCAGGGAATAAAGATCTCAGTTTTGGGGGTTTTCTCCCTCACCCCCCCAGCGCCGTCTTCTCGCACAGGCCTGCGCCGCCAACTCCGATCACGCTCCCGTGTCACTTTGCTGGATGTCTGCTCTTCCCTCCCACCTGGCTCTTCTCCTCCTCATGAAGACCCCCAAGGCAGATGTGCAGGACGGAGCTCATCCCCTGCCCACATCTGCGGAGCCATTTCCGAGGGAAGGGACAGCTTGCAGCAGTTGTCACCCACGGCTGAGGCTCTGTGCTCTGGCACTCCTCACTTGAACATCTTCTCGCTCAAACTGGAACCTCCAGAGGGGAGGTGGGGATTTTGTCCCAGGTGTTTCACAGACCGTGGTGCTTTCCTGTCGTTCTGTCTGGGTTTGATGGTGTCACACTCCCCCATCATACCTGGGGATGGCTCCACGGTTAACTGGTCGGATTTGCTCGGTCCTGTTTGAAATTGCCTCTTCAGAGGTCTGTACTTTGAGCAGAGGCAGCGTTCCACCCCCGCTGCAGGGACAGCAGGGAGGCACTGGCCATTCATGGTGAGATTTCCTAATTTCCATCAGCCAGGTATGGCACAGCTTCTCCTGGAGTCCCCCGTGAGCTGGGGAGGCTCCGCCTGGCCCAAACACCCGGCACGAAGTGCGGTGGGTGAGGAGCCCCTGCTCTGAAACATCGCTGGAGCCATGAGGAGCAGTTTGTGCTCCAAGCTGGGAGAGGAGGGAAATCCTGCGGCAGCTCCTGAATCATGTCGTGTGCCCAGAGCCGGGCCCTAGGTTATTGCTGGCAGACAGGGATTTTCATTTGTGCTTCCTCCCTGAAAAGTCAGAAAACGCCGCTCGACTGATGACGGGAGGAAATGAAGGCTGGTGCCCGGGGCAGTGGAAGCCGCGGGCGAGGCTTCATTCAGAGCCTGATCCCGGCTGTCCCAGGGGCTCCGGGATCGCTTCCAGAGGAAATACCGGGGGCTCCGGGCTCTTGTCAGCCGGCTCAGGGACTCTTTTCCTCTTGGCATTAGGAGCGGCTGCGTTAATCGTCATCCGAGACCGGACGGAGCCTCTGGCTCTCCCCGGCTCACCTTGGCCGCAGCTCGGGGTCAGGGTCAGGCACCACGTGCAGGTGGGATTTCAGCAGATCTGGATCTCTGTGTCTCAGGATCTCAAGTGGGAATTAGCACTTTACCTCCCTTCGGTTTAAAATGACAATACACGCTTAATTACAGCGAGGAGAATCATACAGGTGTTCTTCACCTCTACACCCGGGTCAGACGTCAGAGAGCTCCCTGAGGTCCAGCACTGGAGTGGAAACAGCTTGGGAAGAGTTTTGCACTTTGAGGCTAAAATCGCCAAGGGCAGGGGCCCAAGGGGGAAGTTTTCAGCACTCCTGGGAGAGGTGGCACCACTGAGAAAGCAAGGAGACCTTTCTGGAACACCGGTTACGTAAATTGCCCTGGGATCGCTGCCATCCAGGTTAGAAACCGGCTTCCTCCGACCTTTGCTTTCTGAGTCATGGAGCAGAGGTGCTGTCACCGTGCTGGTGGAGGCATCAGTCCTTTTGTTGAGGGATTTGGGGTTTTTCCACTGTGTTCTGGGAGAACTGGCCATGTGGTGCCCCTTGTCCCAGCCCACCGGAGCTCAGCATGTGGGAGTGGGTGGCAATGGGAGCTCAAACTGCTCCCTGGCAGGAGCCAAGTCCCTCTGTCCTGGAGGCTGAGCTTTATAATCATCTCTCCTGCTTTTTCTTACCCTTGCCATTCTCTCTTCTGCTCATAGTATTCCAATGTTGCTTGTGTAGTAGAAAAACGTGGCTGGGGCAGAGTACAAATGCTGGAGAGTGGAGTTGAGTGACACAGAAATCCTTCCCTGGGAGGGTGGGCAGGCCCTGGCACAGGGTGCCCAGAGAAGCTGTGGCTGCCCCTGGATCCCTGGCAGTGCCCAAGGCCAGGCTGGACAGGGCTTGGAGCAGCCTGGGACAGTGGGAGGTGTCCCTGCCATGACAGAGGGAATGAGATGGGCTTTAAGGTCCATCCCAAACCATCCTGTGTTTCTTTGATTCCATAACTCCATCCCCATAGTGATGGATCTGTCATCAGCGCTCTGCTTTGCTTCAAATTCTTCTTTCATTACACAAACCTGCAACAATGCAACTGACGTGGGATTACGCCAAACTCCACCACTTCAAGCTAATTATTTTTGCCTGTATATATGTATCACCCTTTATTGAGCAGGAGCTACTCATGAATAACTCTTTTCTCAAGCATTGGACTTGAGCTGTGCAAACCACGATCAAGAGACAAGGGACACAGCTGAGTGCTGTCATCCCTGATATGCCTTGTGCAGAGACTCCTCTGTTTGGGCTACCAGAGCTCCTTTGGAGATCTCTATTTTTGTAGAATTATTTCTTTTCTCTGAACTGCAATAGGCAAGATCCATGAATTCCACTTAATGGTAATAGTTTAAACGTGCTTTGTTCTTGTGTCAAACCAGCAGGAGCTCTGAGGTGAAGGGTTTCTTCCCCTGCTCCTTCCTTGAGTGTTCCATGGCTCATCAGAGTTGGCTGAAGGAGCATCTCTGGTACCTGTGAGGTGTTTTGGGGCTCCTCAAAAGCGACTGCTCAAAGCGTTGGGGTGCAGGAATAGCAGCAGGCAGAGCTGTCGCTACCCCGGGCTGGTGTAACCACAGAGCAGGGCTGGGCACCACGGTCCTGCCAGGATGTGCCTCGTCCTGGTTTCACATCACAGCACACTGGCCTGCTCTGGAAATCGCTCCCTGTGCTGAGGATTATGTGGAATTAAAAGGATTTAAAGCGCAAGATGTCCTAAGATAAATATCTCCCAAGTTCAGCCGGGCTGGCAGTTGCGTAACTGAGTGCACTTGTTTTCCAGGATCCTTTTCTGGGTGCTGTTAAGGAAACTCAGCAGGGCCTTTGTGTGAGCCCTGGGGCAGCTGGAGCGTTCAGTCACCCCGAGGTGCCCTGGCTGCTGCTCCTCGTGCCCATCAGATCAGCTCCCTAATCCCCGTTTCCGCTCAGCCCGGAGCAGGGACAGCTGCAAAGCTGCAGGGACAGCTGCGGGCTCCCGCTGGGGCCCCTGTGGCTGCCTCATCAGTAGCCCAAGCCCTGCTCTGCCACAGCCTGGGTGAGCTCCTCACTGGCCTGGGCACCCCAGGGACGATGCCTGGTTGCTGCAGGAGGGAGATCTTGGGAATTCTCTTGGAGCAGGATATTTGGGAGGCTCCTTTGCAGCCCCAGAGTGCTGTGAGAGGGCAGCTGCGCCTGCTCCCCGCCGTGTGTGGTGGGCAGGGCAGAAATGAAGCATTTTAGAGAGGCAAATGTCAGCCCAAGAAACCCACAAACTATTTCAGCTCTGCTCATGATGTGCTGAATGGCCATATTTTATCTCGGGAGGTGATGAGTCTGGAGCTGTGTTCCCATCTGGAACATTCACAAATGGCTCTCCAATTCCATATGAGGGAATAAGGACTGGTTTTGCTCTGGGGTAGAAGGAGAGCACTTGGCTCTAAACTGCAATTCTCTGCTCACACATCTGACTTACGTCAGCCTGAGAAAGCGACCGCTTCATCAGGAGCTTCATCCCCCTAAGGCCAGGGACCTGTGTGCCCAGGAAAGCTCCCTGGCACGGACACTGCTCTCCTCCTTTCCCCATCCCTTCCATCCCGGCTAGGATGGGTTTCTGCAGCAGCACAAGGACAAGTTTTCCTCGGAGCAAGGAGCTGATAAAACCCAGCCCTCGAAAGTCTGGTGGCTCTGGGGGCATCACCTGGTGTCTCCCAGCTCGCCCTTGAAGCTGAGGGGTTGGACACTCACCCCTCCCCTGAGATGTGCCTTGTGGATCTGTTCTCCAGAGGGATCACTGCTTCCCTCTGTCCAACACACAAATTCTGCTTCTTCAGCTGTCTGAGAGAAAAGCAGCTCCGAGCTGTGGTTTGGATTAGCAGTTCTGAGCTGGGGCTGGCTCACAGCTGAGCCACTGAACATCAGCCTGTCTCCAAGCCTGGTGCTCGAGTGCTGAGTCTCCCCTGCGTTGTGGGGGCTGTTCATAAACACAACTTTTTACTTCACTGCTCAGCTGTTCTCTGTGCTAACGCAGGAGAGCTCGGTGCAAACACCAGGGCAGCATTCCCCTGGGGGAGCCTGCTGCTGCTGCTGGGGCTTTTCTGCTGAAACTACTGTGGAACTTCCTAAGTTGGGACTAGGGCGAGTTGTGGAGCTCAGATGGGGTGCACAGAGGTGCAGTGTAGAGGACACCTGAGGAAAAAGTCAGGTTGATCCCATCACTGGGTCCTTGCTGCTCCAGGGAAGGAGTTGGCTTCGTTTCTGTCAGTTCCTGAAAGGTTCTAGAACCCACTCATTCCACTGAGGATCTGAGGCTCGAGTCCACTGGCATTGCAGCTCCTCCCTTGGCCCATGACTTCTGAAAAGGAGGGAATAAACTGCCCTTGTTCTTTCCGAGGAGGAGAGGAACGCCGTGATTTTTGGAGCCTGAGACTGCAGTGCAAACAGATGTCAAAGCAAAGTCTTCTTGCCCTTGTTTTTCTCCACAGTCTGCAGAAAACCTCCTGTACGTGCTTATCCTGCTCTGAGTATCTGTGACTCAATGAAATCCCACCCACTCCTGCTCCCCCGGCTTCCCCGGGCGGTGCCGGAGCTGAACCCGATCCCTGCGGGCTCCGGTGCCCGCGGGTCCCCGCGGTGACTTTCGCGGAGCTGGACCTGGAGCCAGGCGGGTGGGGCAGGTTCCCTGCAGGTACCGGCTGCCGTGGGCTAATAAATAACCGATAAAGGCTGCAGTTAAAGCCGATGGCACGGCACGATGGTTGTGAGCTCGGTGCCGGAGTGGAGCGGGAGGGCCGGGATGGAGCAGCGGCTGCACCCCGAGGTGCCCGGGGGGAATCTGCAGCAGCCCCCCCAGGCATCCCGGCGGGTGCTGTTCACCCCACGAGCAACACTGGCTGCATGAGGAGCCCCAGTTTCATTCGGGGAAAGCGTGGAGAGACTCTCTGGGCAAGAGACTTTCTTTTAAACAAGTTAAAGACAAGAGTTTGGTGTACGGGGAAATGTCCAAGGTGCCACCCTGCCCTGTTTGTCCCACGAGAGGGGCTCCCAAAGCCACCAGCTTTGGTGGGGGACACGAGGAACGATCCCAAATCCCATGCCTAGCATGTGCTAACAGCGGCTTCTCCTCCTTTGCAGAACGGGCAGGCAGCTCCAGAAGAAGGTGGGAATCCTCCATCCAAGGTAAAAAATGCCCCGGGGTTACGTCTGCAAGTCCCTCTGAGCGTGGGGGTGTGAGCTGACTCGGGGATGGTTATTTTTAAAGCCTGTAAAGCTGCTGCTGCTCTGTAAATCTGCAGGAGTGCACGTGGGAGAGCGAGGGACTGGAGACGGGGAAGAGGAAAGATAAACCCCTGTCCTCCTGTCCCTTCGGTCATCCAAACTTGCCTGGAAGGTTTTCCAGAGGGTCACCGGGGTCCAGCACACCGGAGCTGGAGTGGAGGCTGCAGCCGAGGGCGAGCAGTGAGAACCCCGGGGTGTTTCAGTGCCGTGTTTATGCCTTTCTCTGTGGTGTGATCTTGCCAGCTGGGATGAGAAGTACAAGAGAAATGGATGGTTTTGGCACAGCTGCCCTTGCTGAGCGTCTGGTATCTGTTTATTCTCTTGTCTTGGTGGGGCTGGGAGAAGCTGCCCTCTGCATCCCCGTTAGCATCAGCTGGGAATGACAGAAGGAGCTGAGCTGCCGTGTTTTGGGCAGGGATCTGAGCCTGCTGCTCCTTCCTGAGACACCTAAAGCTCCTCCTGCTCCACACCAGAGCAGCGTGGTGTGAAGGACTGGATTTGTCTGCTGTGAGCCCTCCCCAGGTACAGGAGCAGCACGGTGCTGTCCCCTGGGCATTTCCTGCTTGTGCCCATTCCTGTCCTGCACTCCCAGCAGAGCACAAGGGCCACGTCAGTACCGTGAAATCATAATCCCTTCAGGATTTCCTTTTCCCATCCAGCCGTGCTCTGAGCGTGGAGAATGACACAAAACATTGGATTTGCCCTGGGCAGCCTTCCCGAGTGGTTTGTCAAGAGTTCTGTACCCTCAGCGAGGGCCCTGTGGCAGCTTCTCTCTCTGAATCATCCTGCCCAAGGCTCTGGGGGCTTGTTGGGTTGTTTTTCCAGCTGCTTACGTTGTATTTTTAGTAAAAGACATTTAAACCTAAACCCCAGTTGTCTACATTTCAGCCAGTTCTTTTTTTCCCTGGGACATTTGTGGGTTTCTAGCAGTGCCAGTGCATCTCTCCTACCTGTTGTGCCTCTCTGTCCCACTCTGGAGCTGGCCTGGCACTTCTTCAGCAGCTTGCAAAGAAATCTTTGGGTCAGATGAATTCAGGTCAATGGAACTTGCACTTCCCTCCCCTGAGAGCGGTGGCTTTATGGCTCTGCACTGTGCCTGCATCTCTGGCACGGGGAAAAAAGGAATCCGTGTCTTCTGCTTGGATTCCAGATGGGTTTCTAAGGTTTGGGACTTTGCCTCTTTCATCTTCAAACACTTGCCTAAGCTGCCCTTCCCTAAATGCTGCTGATGGATGCTGCTTTAAAAATCGTTTAGGATTTTTTTCTCTTTGAAGGACATGACTGAGACAAACCCTGGCTGATTCCATCTGTGGGTGCCATTCCACAGAAAGATCATGAGACAGAAGCCAAAAAGCGCTTGAGGTTCCCTTTGCTGCTGTGTGGGATGTGGATGTGCAGCCCAGGCTGGAGCACAGCACTGGGAAGTTCTCCAGCATCCCAGAGCAGGGAAGGCACAAGAGCTCTGTGCTGCTGCAGGTGTCCTGCTTTCTGCTTTTCTGAGGCCCTGTGGCCAAAATGCCTGTGAGCAGTGCCTGACAAACCCATTTTGGGTAACTTTGAGCACCCAAAGCTCCGCTGCACGCTCCTGAAATAACCTCGGTGGCGTTTTCCAAGTTTGTACAAGGTATGTTTGCTAGCAGCACAAATGAAATCTCTCCTGTAAACACATACCTTCAACTTGAGGGCAGCTCTGCCCTGAGATGCTGCAGATGGGGGATGCAGGCAGCCCCCAGAATATCTGTGTGGTTCTTTCTGTTCTTGGACAGCAGCAGCAGCTCCTGGCTCTGGCTCTGCCTCCAGCAGGAGAAGCAAGTGGCCATCACCATTAACAATTGTCATACTGCAGGTTGCTCAGGCTCCCTCCCACACCCTTCTGTGCTGTGTGTGGAGAGCTGCAAGGGGAAGAAACACCTTTTCTCCAGGTTTGTGCTACCCTTTTGCAGCTCATTCTGTGATCTCTGCTAAAAATAACCTGAAGCTGCGACAGCGGCGATTTCTCAAAGCCCACACGCGGCCCTGGCCCTCCCGGCCCTGCCAACAGGACAGTGCCAAAGTCCAGTCCTCGTGTGCCTGGGCCATAACCAAAGCCTCTGGAAAGGAGGAAACCCAAGAGTTCCTCAAAAGAGTCGGGGAGTTCACAGTTGGTGCTGTCAGACCGATGGAGTGTGATGCCTGTGTCACCATCTCACCTGAAACACGAGGAAATGGTCACAGCAGAGGGAGCAAGGGGATGTTTTGGGCCAGGCTGGCTCTGTTCTGGTACTTTCTTGCTGCTTTTGTGGCTCCAGCTCAGCTTCCTACCCAGGACAGCTGGTGCATTCCACAACCTGCCGTGTTTTCTACCTTTCAAGAACAGTTGTGGTGCACAAGTCCCTGCAGGTCCCATTCCTCAGGGCTTACCTTGGGAATGTCTGCAAGGTCCTGGTGCTGCTTGGGGCTGGGGAAGAGTCAGTGCTCACAGTGGATGGGATGAGGCTGTGTTTTGAATCTGCACTGCAAACAGGGTTAATTGTGGCCACATCCCTAACACCAGGCTGCAGGATGGGCACCGGGATGGATTTTTTTCTCACCTTCTTTGGTGGTGGTTAAAAGCCTCTCTGGGTTCAGAGCTTCGTTCTCTCTTGTGTTCTCCAAATTTTAATTGCCAGGTTGGGTGAAATTGGTCCTTGTTCCTTGGGGAACAGCAACTGCATTCAGTGGAAAAATGGAACCTCTCATAATTGGGGTTTTTCAGCCTGCTCTGCAGCCAGCTGGGCTGAGGGGTGAGCCTGTGCTCCCTGAAGGTGCCAAGCATGAGGAATTATACATGGAAGTACAACACCCAGTTAGTGAAATCACTTCATCATGAAAGGCAGAGGAGTGGAATGGCAGTGCTGAGTGTGCCCACACTCTCTCTGGGGAACGGGCTGAGGGTGCTGATCAGCTTCTTCTGGGGTGATAATCACAGAGCTCCGGGAGAGCTGGGGAAGGGAAGATCTGAGCTCTCCCAGCTCTGCACCATAAAAGGGACCTTTGAGACAGGAGCAAGGGCTGTGCTCTGCCACAGACACCGGGCAGGAGGTGCTCCAGGCTGAGCCTGCCTGTGGCAGTGCAGGAGAGGGAGGGATGAGGCTTTTCCCCAGCTCTGTGTCTCTCCTGTTGCTTTATCCTGAGCAGGTCCAGCTTGCAGGCAGGTCCTTCCCTGCAGCTCCTTGCGAGGGCATGAAGGAATGCTGGGCAGGGACACCTTCCCCTGGTTGCCCAGGCCCTGTCCCAGCTGGCCTGTGAGGCTCCAGGTGAGGGAGGCTCCTGGGCCAGCACTGCCCTTGAGCTCCAGGCTGAGAGCAGGACAGGATCCACATCCAGTGCTGTGATCCTGCTCAGCCTCTTAACGTGAAGGGTTTCAAAACAAGTGGGAGCTCTGCTCTGTGCGTGTTTGCACAGCTGCTGCTGGTTCCTCTAGGACCTGGAAAGCTGTGGAGCTGTGGGAAGAGGCAGGTACCTCAGCAAATCCCTTCTCAGGCCACTGTCCCTCTCCTGTGGCTCCCAGACAGCAGTGTTCTGGCCAGGCTGTGGGAGCAGAACATCTCCAGTGTGCTCTGGTGCTGCCTGGAAATTTCCCTGACTCTGCAGGGACTGGGCAGCAGCTGTGGCCACGCTGAACATTTGGCTTTTCCAGCCTGTCACTGGTAAAGCTCCGAGTTCAAACTGGCTGCTGTGCCTTGTCAGCTGAAGGAATTGAGTGGCTTTGCTGCTCCAGCAGTGCCTGACAGCTGCCTGGCCTCTTCTGGCAGAGCCTTTGCTCTGTGTCCTTGGCAGGGCTGGGCTATGGCGAACAGCAGCTTCTGAGCTCTTAAAAAACACAAATAAACGCCTGTTTGAGGAGCAGAGTCTCTGATGAGCTGCAGGCTCTAATGAATAATTGAAGAGGGGTCAGTTTACAGGACTTGCACACGAGGAATGCAGCAGAGTCTGCTCCAGCAGCCCTCCCACATGGTCCCCAACCCATCCAAACCGCTCCGGTTTCTTCTCTGCCATTTCCATCCCCCTGGTGAGTTTGTAGAAGCTGCCTCATCTTCTGTCTCCAGAAAGCTTCTTATTGAAGGAAAAAAAACCCTGAAAATCTCTTACTGTGTGTTGTACTTGGAGGGGACAGTGGTGAGAGCTGGCAGTGGAGAGGACCCCAAATTCTCATTTGATTTTTGAAGGGGCCAAAGTGGGTTTGGGTCACTGGGTCACCCACCCCAGCAGCTGGGAGCTTGCAGTGTCCTTGGCTGGCCAAGACACTGCTGGGATTCTCCCTGCCTGAAGCTCCTGTGGCTTCACCAGTCTCAGCTTTATTTGGAAGTGAAGCCTGGTTTGGACATGAGCAGTAAATTCCTTCCCTAGCTCCAGGTGAAGCTGCAGAAGCTGTTTTTGCTGCCTGCCAGGGCTGCCAGGGGTGGGGACCATCCAGGGAGGGGAGTCCCAGCTATCTAAGAATTCCTGCCTTGCCTGCAGCCCTTTTCCTTCTCCCTTAGGAAATCCCCTGTGTTCGTGCCTGGGGCAGCCTCTGAGCAGTGGGAGCAGAGGCACTGCAGCAGCTCCTGCTGATCTCATTGCAGCTCTGAGGCAGGAAGGGTTTCCCAGCTGCAGCCTGAAATCCAGGTCCTTCCTTCCCCTGGCTGTCCTGGAGAGCGCAGCTGGGAAACGTCACCCTTTGGATATGGAAAAGGAGAGTGTTTATCCCTGTTTGTGCTTGAAGCTGCTCTGGGAATGCCAAGAGGGCTGAGACAGACGCTCTGTGCTCCTGAGCTGGGGCTGCACTGATCCCCTCGCTGGCAGAGAGGATTTCACTGCACAGCCCGGGTGGGGAATGGCTCTGCACCAGAGAACTCCAGCCCTGGGGTCCGTGGTCACCTTTGGGGTCCAGGAGGGGACCCCTGGGGTGTCCACAGGGACAGAGTGAGGAGAAAAAAGCTCCTTAAAATAGAGGGGAAGAGGACAAAACGTGGTATTCCCAGCGTGGGGGTGGCTGCAATCCCCTTGCTGTGATGGTTGGGAAGGGATGGATGTGATCTCCATGTTTGGGAAGGGATGGATGTGATCTCCATGGTCCTGTCCCTGGAGCAGCTGAGCCGTGGAGGGGGTGGCTGCTGGCTGTGTCTGTGGTTTTATAAACATTAAATGATAAAATATTGCTTTGCTCCAGCAGACACTCATCCTGTGCGCTCTCACCGGGGTGTTGGCAGCGCACAGCTCGGGGTGTGTTTTGGACAGGGCTTTTTTTGCTTTTAACCCTGCTGCAGTTCACAGCCCCCCCAAAAGGTGACAATCCCTTTTCTCTCAGCGTGTCCTGCACGAGTGACATCCCCTGAGGGTGGGAGAGAGCCAGGCTTGCACAGACCCAGCCCAGCAAAGGCTTCTCCAGGTCCTGAGAACACTTTTGGTGTGCCTTGCGAGGGAAGGGCAGCCTGTGTGCTGTGGGAGGAGTGTGGAATTCCAGCGTTCCTGCAATACAGAATAGTTTCCACATCCCACAATTACTCCAAGGGCAGCAAACAATTCTTGGTTCTTGTTGTGAAACCGGTGTTGTATTTTATAATTCGGCTAGAAAGAGATGTCAGGTTTTTTAGTGCAAGTCACAGAAGTGCCATGATGGAAGGTGGTGCTTTACTGCTGGTTCCTCAGAGTGGCATTCTGTGTTTGGAACAGTCTGGGACGGGGTCTCCTGGTTTTACCACCATCCAAGCATGAGCTGGTTGGAATTTGCTGAGAGCAGAGCTTTTCTCCCTGCTGGGAGCTGTGAGTAGGGCTGCAGGAAGGGGAGGCTGCATCCTTTGCTCTCTCTCGCACTGGAGGCTGATTTGCTCTGCAGAAGCTGCAGAACTGAGTAATTCCTCATCTCCTGGCTGTTAGAGGTGTTTTCCTCTCCAGTGTCACGTTTCACTGGGTGCAAAGTCCTGGCTCCCCGTGCTCCTCTCACAGCTCTGGAACTGCGGCAGCTCCGGAGCCGTGGGGAAGTCTCCGTGGAGTTTGGGAACATCTTTTGCCTGAGCTTGTATCTTTAGCCCAAACAGCTCATTGTCAGCTGATCCTGGCCAGTTGCAGCTTGTGGTGCCTGGGAATGGTGCAGAAATTCTATTTCTTTATTTATTTATTGAAGAAACTTTCAGGATCTGCTGCCAGCATAGCCCTGGATGGAGCCAGGAGCGTGTGAGGGGTGCCTGTGCTGCAGCCTCTCTGCTCTCCATCCCAAAACCGACCTCAGCCCTCTGACATAAAGCAGATATTTTGGTTTCCCTGTGAAACAAGTTGGTTAAAAACTGAGCAGATCAAAAAGGATGTCATGAAGCCCAAGGACAGGGGCTCAGCTGTGTGAGCCACCATCTGCCTTCTCCCTTCCTCCCCCTCAGGCTTTGCTTGAGAAAACCCCTCATCCCTTAATAATTTCCAAGCTCCCTCTGTTTCAGGGGTGCTGAATCTTCCCAGAGGTGTTTATGAAATGGGCTTTGGGCTGCCCCCATCCCCTTTCAGATGAGAAACACATTTTGGACATTGAGGATGCTCCGAGTGCCACCTGCTGGAATGTGCTCGAGGGGTGCCAGTGTGATGCTGCCTGGCCCCTGGCAGCGTTCCCCCCTCAGGGATTTCCTGAAACCCCCGTTGTGGGGAGCCAGGATCACTGGAGGAGCAGCACAGCCTTCCCAGGAGGCACCAGGTTATTTTTACACAGTTTGGTTGCCTCTGTGAGTGGGGAGGAATCGCCCTCAGGAGGATGGCAGAGCGTTTCCAGGAGTCAGGCTTTTGTTTTGCCGTGTGTGGGGGGCTCCTGATGTTTTCCACGCCAGGATGGAGCTGGTCATTCCCTTCTTCACCTGCTGTGTAAGGGTTTGGGCACGAGGGCTTTGATGATTTGAGGATTTCTGGGCACCACATTACCCCCACTGAGCAGAGGCCTGACCGTGTCCTCTGGGTTTCTCCTCCCTCTCCCATTTTTGGCTGGTTTTGTTTTTCAGGAGGCCAATAACAGTCCTTGGAGATGGCGTGGGGTGAAACGTGCAGCCCTGCTCCCTCTCAGTGATCCCTTCCTGCAAAGCTGCTGCCAGGAATCCGCCCCCGTCCTGATCCACTCCTTGGGAAGTTCCCGTTCCCCCCGGTGTTCCCGGGCTGTGTTTGGAGCTCTGACTTTGTGCAGAACTTCCACCTTCAAAGCCACCCCGCGGTGTCCCTTCCTCCTCGGGCCCAGTGTCTGTCAGCAAATGCCCTTGTGCAGTGTGAGTTCACGGGCTGAGGAAGCCTCTCTCTCCCTGCACATCCTCTTGGGTTGTTCCAAGGTCTTGTTTTAGGAGATCCTGTGGCCCCAAGGTACCCCAAGCCAAACCCTTCCCTTCCCAGCCTGGGCCACGTCTCTGCTCAGTGTCCCACAGGATTCCTCAGCCTGGGGGCTCCCAGGGGCGCTGAAGAGGATCCACCACAAAAATACTGTCAAAAGTACGGGGTTCTGGCCAAGTCTTTTGTTGCAAATGAGGCCAAGGGCCAGCCTTGCCCAAAAAAGGCCTTTGCAGGAGGGCAGGCAGTGACTGGGGAGGTTTCTTTGCTTTGTTCCCCTTTCTGAGAACCACCACTTGAAAAAAAACTTCCAGACAGAGCAGCCTTTGCTGCTCTCCACAAACTTCAGCCTGGCTTCCTCTGCAGAGCTGCAGCACCTCGTGCTTCCCACCGGTTCCAGGTCCCTCCACAGCAGCTGGATCGTTCTGAACCAGTTCTCTCCCGATTTCTGTGTGCAAGGGTAATGCAGAGCCACATGTGCACTCCCAGTTCCCTCAGGAGACCAGCTGCTTTCAGCCATGGGTTTTACCAACCTCATTGTAAAAGACTTCTTCCCTGTATCTGATCTCAATCTCCCCTCTTTTAGCACAAAACCATCACTCCTTGTCCTGTTGCAACAGGCCCTGCTAAAAACTCTGTCCCCAGCTTTCCTTTAGGACCTGGGAGGGGCTCTGAGCTCTCCCTGGAGCCTTCTCCTCTCCAGGGGAGCACCCCCAGCTCTCCCAGCCTGGCTCCAGAGCAGAGGGGCTCCAGCCCTGAAACATCCTCGTGGCCTTCTCCAGCAGGTCCAGGCTGCTCCTGCGCTGATCCAGAAGCTGCTGCTGCCTTTCCCTGGAGAGCTTTAATCCCACTGATCCTACAGGGAGAGCATCCCTGCTGGATCAGCATTTGTGCTGCTCAGAGCAGGGGCAGACACATTTGGAGGAGGAAAACTCCCGAGACTCTCAGTAGCTCATTGCTGCCTTGTGCAGGGCCTGAAATCGCTCTTTCTGTGCCTGTTTTTGTGTGTGTGGCACGGGGGACTGACCTGACCCTCCTGAAAAGCCGGCTGGGATTTGCTGATGGCTCTTTCCTTGCCTAAGCACCCGTAAAGCCACCCAGTGTTCTGCTCTGGCTGCCGCATTGTGCAGCCATGACCACACAAAGCCATTTCCCCATACGAAACCGCCGTTTCCTTTCAGTAAAACTCCCAAAATCCATCCCAGTGACACAACCTCACACCGGGCCCAGAGCTCAGCGGGCAGCTGGGGAAGGATGGCAGGATAACAGCCCAAAGCTTTGGAGATGCTGAGGCTCCTCTTCCGCAGCAAGCCAAGGATCCAGGAGGCAAGTGGCTGATAAAATCCCTGCTCTGCCTGCGGTGCTGGGCTCTGTCTCTTCTGCAGGACACGAGGGATCAGGGAATTCCTGAGCCTAGAGAGCCAGACCTTACCCAGCTTTAATTAAGCGCTTTTTTGGAGGGTATGGCTGCTTCCTAAGAAGTGTCTTTCCTAGGTGCTGCCAGATTTTGGGAGTGTTTTGGGACCAGAGCATGTGTTGAAGCAACAGAAATTAAAACAGCTTCTGGTTAGTTGTTGATGAATAGGAAGCGAAATGCCAAGAGCAGAATCTGTTTCGAGCTTTGCAGGGTGGGTTTTTTTTTCTTGCATTTAGATGTGACGGTCTCAACCGGCAAAGTGACAAAACGCGAGCAAAAACAAACCTGTCTCTTGGCTTCTGGCTTGTAAAATCCTCCCTCAAAAAAAGGGGAAAGTAGAAAACAGGACTCGTATTTTGAACTTGGGAAAAGCCCCTGTTGGTCTGTGCCCAGCCCCTGCTCTGGGCTGACTCAGCTGTCCAAGGTGGCACAGGAGAGCTCAGGACTCGTCTCCTCCTCTGACTGGAGCGTCCTGCAGGGCTTTTATTTTCCAGGAGAAGCCAATCTCATTTCCCAGCAGTGCAGGACTCTGGGAAATGCCTGTCTGGAGGCTGGGGGTGACAGCAGGTGCTGGGAGCCCCCAGGAGCAGGGAGTGCTGGACCTGCAGAGATCCGGACTTGTGGTCCTGGTGAGACACCCGCAGGGGCTGTGAACAGCTCACCTGGTCCTGCTGAACAGGCTCTTTGGGAAAACTTCAGCAGAGAATCACAGCCCCTCTGTGCTGACATTTGTTTATTGTCCCACAGGCAAAATCTGACATCACTTGGATAGAGAAAGACCTCGTGGACTCTGCAGACAAGGTAGGAGAGGGCTCTGGGCACCTCAAGGCTCATCCATTCCATTTGTATCCTGTCCCACACACACAGAGCTCGCAGGGACCTCTCTGCAAACCAAACCCTTTCCTGCCTCCCACCCCTGGCAGCCCCCCTCAGCTCTGTGGAGAGCAGCTATTGCTCACTCGTTCACGTGACATCCTGGACTTGATTTCATCCTCCTCCTCCTCCTTCCTCCCCACACCAACCCCCTTTCCGTGCTGTCATTTGTGTCTCCTGTGGCTTTCTGATCTTGTCAGCGAGCCAGGACGGGCACTTTTGGTTGCGTGGTTGTGCAGGGGGGATTTTATTGCCTTTCTGAGGCTCCTCTCCCACGCTAGTAACACAACATGAAAAATGGTCTGGGTCAGGATGAGATTTATCAGCCGGGCCCACGCACAGGGAGATCACTGCTCCCCCACACCGAGACGTGGGGCTGCTGTGGGATGGGTGCTCACCTCGGGTGCTCAGGGTTTCTCCTCCCAGGGCTGGCTCAGAAGGCAGGAGGTGTCGGTGTGAACAGGGAGCAGCTGCAGGTGCTTTTCCATGGCTGGCACCTGCCCCAGCCCCCAGAACACAGCGAGGAGGGGCCGGGCCCAGCTGCCTCCATGGGTTCAGTCATTTGTTTCTTTCCTTATCGGGTCTCAAAGAGCACGTGATGGGGTCAGAGGGGGCAAGACAGTCATAATTTGTGTCTCTGGTTCCATCCTCGGCACGCTCGGGAGAAATTCAGAAATCGGAGCTGACACGGGGCTATTTCCTTTTGTGTGGGTGTCTTTTGACTCATTTCAAGGGGTTTCTTTCTTACCTGCACCCGCTGCTGCGGGAAACATCTGTCTGTCCTGATGGGAAGGTCAAAGGAGAACAGGTCTGGAGGGGGAAGGAGGCAAAACAAGCCCTCTAAATACCTCTGCTCTGTCCTGCCAATAATCTGAGCCATGGAGGGTTCAGAAACAAGAAATGCCCTTAAAAGCACCTCAGAGTGACCTTCAGGGTGGCTCTCAGATAAACAACTCCACACTCCACAGCCAGGACTCTTGTGCAGCATGAGGCAAGCGAAGGACTGATTGCAAATCCAAACTGGGAGGGATCCCAGTGGGTGAGCCCTCATCCCCAGGGGAGAGCAGAGACCTGCAGCTCTCCAAGGTGTTGTCACACTCCTGGCTGGGTTCTTGTGAGTTTGTCTCTTCTGTTTTAGAGAGCAAAGTGGCTCCTCACGGGTTCCCCTGTTGTGGAGATACCCCAAAGCTCCCAGCCTGACGTGAGCTTCAGGCAGCATTAGATGGAAATCACTTTGAGGAGACCGTGTGTGTTTTCTATCAGTGTCTTCCTGAGCCAGGGAACCCAGCGACGAGCTGTGAGATTATTTTTTTAAAAACAAACCTGAGAGAGAAAAAAAAAACCAAAAAAAAGCCCCAACCACAAGCGCTGCTGCTGGGGAGGGGGAGCGTGAACCTCCCTCCCTCCGTGTGACTGAGTCCCGTCCCCTCTGCACATCCGCCCCTGGCGCAGCCACCTGCAGCTCCGGGGCCGCAGCTCCGGGGCCAGGCCGTGTAGATCGGGATGGGACCATGGAGAGGGACCCTAAACTTCCCCGGCTCTGGGCGTTCCTGACGCTCTGGCTGCAGAGGAAGCACCGAGCCAAGCCCTGCAGCCTGCAGCTGCCTGTCCCCAGCCAGCTCGCCGCTCCGGTCAGTACCGCTGGCACCGCTTCCCCTCCTGCTGCTGCCTGATGCTTCCTGTTCAGGGCACTCTGGTTTGCTTTTCTTTCTCTGCCTTCGGGGACAGCTTGTTGTGGTGGCACTGGAAGAAGCTGAACTCGGTGGAACACAGGTGCTTTTGTGATTTCTGTGAGGGAAAATCCTCCCTTGTGTCAGCAAGATACCAAATGGCTTCTCAAAGTGCTTCTGTGGTCGGAGGATCACAGGATGGGCTGGGCTGGAGGGGACCCTAAAGCCCATCCAGTGCCACCTGTGCCACAGCAGGGACCCCTCCCACTGTCCCAGGCTGCTCCAAGCCCTGTCCAACCTGGCCTTGGGCACTTGCAGGGATCCAGGGGCAGCCACAGCTGCTCACGACCCTTCCAGGGAAGAATTTCTCCCTATTGGGTCCATTTTTGGGTCTCTCCCTGCTGTGGGCTCTCTCCCTGGACAGCTGAGCTGGCAGGAGGAGCTGAACTTGGCTGGCTCCTGCTCCAGCTCTGGAGGTGGGAAGCTGCTCCTCACAGCAGCTGTCTGCAGGGACTCAGCCTCCAGATGGACCCAGAAGTGCAAAGTGGCTGCTTTAAGCTGGGAGATCATCTGGAACACGAAAATGCGTTGTTTAAAGGATTATGGGATCTTTCTTGCCTGTGATCACTGAGCCCAGGGAAAGGCAGGATAACACCAGGGAGCTCCTGGGCCCCTGCCCTGAGTGCCTGAGTAGCACAGGAGAGAGCAGAATGGGAAAAAAGCCACTTCCTAAACTGGGAAAAGTGGGAAGGAGCTCGGTGCAGGTGGGCAGCACATCCACGGGCACTGGAGGGTGCCTGGGCTGGGCAGGAGGACAGGCAGGGCTGGCACCTGCCTCTGCCTGCCTTCAAAAGCTGCTTTGATGAGCTGGTTCCAGACCAAGTGTCTGAATAGGTCTAGAAAACAAAGTGTAAGTTTTTTCTCCCAACTCTGCAAGGGAAAAAGAGGAATTGTAGTTCCAGCTTTCTGCAGTCTCTGCTGGCCACAGCTCCCCAGGGCCAGCGCCAGCAGAGTTTAATGCATTTTGAACATAATTGCTGTCCTTTGGGTCCAAAAGTTTTACTGGGAATAGGAGGTGTTTCAGCATCACCTCAGGGTCTGTGGCTGTGCTGGCCCAGCTCCCTTGGTGAGTTTATTCTATTTATGCTGATTAAATCTATTTTTTCTTCTTTATTTTTTTTTTGAAGTAAAATAATGTGTTTTAAACAAAACATGTGCCAGAGACCTTGGCTTCCCCTCAATCTTCTTGAAGGCTGGAGTCTGTTAAAGCATCATCTGTATGTGCTGAAGATGCACTAAGACTTATGTTGCAGAGTTGCTCAGATTGCTGAGCAGATGGGCTCCAACATGTCTGATTTTTGCCAGCCCTGGCCCTGTTTTGACAACAGTGCCGTATTTTTTGTGTTGTGGGATTTTTAGTGGCATAAACACTCCTGTTTTTGCTACCAGTGCCTCAGAAAGGAAGGTGCTTCTCAAGCACTCTTCTGAAATGCAGTTCAAAGCAGCTTCTGTGGTTGGGAGGGAGGGCTCTGTATTTACCTGGTCCTCCCTGCCCTGACTTATTGATTGCAGATGCTGATACCTGTGACAAGCTCCAAGCTTCCTGCTTCTCTCAGATGTGGCTCCTGTGAGTCTGGAGCTGCACTCCTTGTTCCATAACCCCATAATTCTGCTTCCCCTTGCTCAGGAGTCCCTGCCCTCTGTTTCAGGGGGAAGGTGTGGTGCAGGAGATCAACATCACACACCATGTGAAGGAGGGCTCTGAGAAGGCTGATCCCTCACAGTTTGAGCTCCTGAAGGTGCTGGGACAGGGCTCTTTTGGCAAGGTAAGGTCACTTCTTCCTGTGTGCCATGCCAGGGAAATGATTCTGGTGACGAAAGGAACCATCCCCAACACAAGCATGTTCCTGACTCCCAGGAATGACCCTGGGCACGTTCCTCCCTTCTCAGAAGTGCTGCTGTGTGCCCCAGGCTGGGTTTGGCCCCTCTTTACAGTCCAGTTTCCCTTCTGTGAAGGAGGAAGGAAGTAGCCTGTAGCTCTTATCAGTTTCAATAATCCAGGTCTCTTACAGCCCATCTGCTGACACGTTAGATCAGCTTGGTGTCAGTCTGACAGCGGGGCTTGGACAGGACTGTGTGCTGCTGCCTGGGCAAATGCAGCATCAGAGGAGAGTTGGGAAAGACCTCTGGGATCATCCAGACCAGAAACAAGAAATGCCCTTAAAAGCACCTCAGAGTGACCTTCAGGGTGGCTCTCAGATAAACAACTCCACACTCCACAGCCAGGACTCTTGTGCAGCATGAGGCAAGCGAAGGACTGATTGCAAATCCAAACATTCCCGGAGGGATCCCAGTGGGTGAGCCCTCATCCCCAGGGGAGAGCAGAGACCTGCAGCTCTCCAAGGTGTTGTCACACCTTGGAGTGTGACACTTGCAGGCGGTGTCCTTGTGATGCTGCCTAAAACCAGGTGGAAGGAGACATCAGGGAAGGAGATAAAAATCCAGAGGATGCAGGGCCTTGAATAACAAAGATCTGATGTGAGTGACAAAGCAGGAGTGAAGCATCAGTGCCTCCAGCATCAGCTCGGGAGCTGCAGGAGTCAGGAGGTGTGGAAGGTTGGGGGGTGAGAGGAGCCTGTTGGGAAGGTAGAATTAGAAAGAAATGATAAATATGACTCCTTAGCCAGAAAGGCTAAGGAAGAAATACAAATGAAAATTATTCTTTGAATAATTCAAAGAAACCGGGCTGGTGTGCCAGAACACATTCTTTCCTGCAATAAAACCAAGCTGAGACCCCTCTTCCCAACCTTATAAGGAAAGGTCTAAAGGACCCTGAGATAACTAAAAATATGTAAAAACAGCGATTTCTATAGGTCACACACAAATGTTACTGTATTAGTATGCTTAGAAAGATTGGTTAGTGAAGGAATAGAATATTCAAATGTATAGATTATATAAGTAACTGCAAAAGAGAATTCTCTCTCTCGGTTCTCTTTGTCTCTCTTGTTTCTCTTAGTCCCTCTTAGCTCTTGGTCTCTCTTGCTACTCTTACTACACCTCTCTTGGTCTCTCTTGCTTCACTCTTGCTGCTCTTTTTCCCCAGCTCTCTCACTTCTGTTCTGTCCCTCTCTTAGCAATCTTAAGTCTTGAGCTCATGTATTCATATTTTACCCCCTTTTGTATTGTTCCCTCCGAGCCCGCTTTGAGCTCTATCTGCTGGCTCATAGCAGCTTCTCTCTCTCTCCCACGCCCTGAAATAAACTCCTAACACCCAACTCGATTATAGAGATCTTTGCCGTGTCTCAGACCGTCCCCAAAAAGCGTCTCCTACAGGAGCCCACACACAAAACTTCCCTGGAAAAACCCCACGGGAAAGCTGGAGCTTCTCAGGGACACTCCGGGGTTGGGGAAGCATCCGGCTCCTCAGTGTTCAGAACTTGGTGAATTTGGTGTTCTTGTGCCTCAAGGTTTTCTTGGTGAGGAAAATAACACCCCCAGACAGCAACCACCTGTATGCCATGAAAGTGCTCAAGAAGGCCACGCTGAAAGGTAGGAAGGAGACTCAGTGATTTAAAGAGCGCTGGGGAAATGTCACAGCAGCCACTGCTGGCCCTGGGGTGGGCTGGGTGAAAGAGCAGAATGGAAAAAACTGGGGAAAAAAGATCATTGGAAGAAAAAATGGGGGAAAAAAGGACAAAAATTTGGGATGAAAATGCGATAATAGAGACAGACTTAAAGGGAAAAGTGAAAAAAAGAAGATTTGGGGTAAAAACTGGAAAAAAGATAATTGGAAGAAAAAATGGGGGGAAAAAGGATGAAAATTTGGGATAAAAATGGGAAAGAAGAGACAGAATTAAAGGGAAAAGTGAAAAAAAAAAGAAGATTTGGGTTAAAAACTGGAAAAAAGATAATTGGAAGAAAAAATGGGGAAAAAAGGACAGAATTTCGGAAGAAAGTGGAAAAAAAGGAAAAAATTTGGGATAAAAATGGGAAAAAAGAGACAGAATTAAAAGGAAAAGTGAAAAAAAATATTTGGGCTAAAAACTGGAAAAAAAGATAATTGGAAGAAAAAATGGGGGAAAAAAGGACGAAAATTTGGGATAAAAATGGGAAAGAAGAGACAGAATTAAAGGGAAAAGTGAAAAAAAGATTTGGGCTAAAAACTGGAAAAAAGATAATTGGAAGAAAAAATGGGGGGAAAAAGGATGAAAATTTGGGATAAAAATGGGAAAGAAGAGACAGAATTAAAGGGAAAAGTGAAAAAAAAAGAAGATTTGGGTTAAAAATTGGAAAAAAAGATAATTGGAAGAAAAAATGGGGAAAAAAAGGACAGAATTTCGGAGGAAAGTGGAAAAATATGAGAAAATTTGGGGTAAAAATGGAAAAAAGACAAAATTTGGGGTAAAAATGGGTGAAAATCCCAAAATTCATCCACATTTGGTTCCAAAGAGGCCCCAAAGAATCAAATTAGGCCAAATTTGGGTCAA